AAAAAAAAGAAAAGAAAATGCCCAGCTGCAAATACATCACCTCACTGGACATAACCAATGAACATTGACTTTCACTGGGTGTAACCAATCATCAACATACACTACCAACTTGGAACTGTATTTAAATTGCTGGTCCTGCCACATTGAAGAGTTTTGCTCCAAGGACATCAGTGAGACTAGCCTTCTTACTGTCTGTCCCTGAACTGACTCCACCATTCCCTGATGTCCAGCCATCAGGTGGAGAGAACCACCAGACAAGAACAATATCTGCTCTTTGGCCAAGAGAAGTCCATGGCATTTAAGGTATTTTGGGACTTGTGGTTGCTCTGAGTTTGTGTGATTTGCTTATAGTGTTTAGTTAGTGTGCATCAGATGCTAGTTGCTCCCACGCATCCAACACTTTTGCATTAATTATTTATATTTGATGATTGGTGTGAACAGATATATGCTTGCATTTAAAGACAATCCCCTTCCAAGTAATTATTAATAGCACTGCTCAGGACACTCCCCCTTCATAAACTGAGGGGAAAGAGGATTACCTTTCTTCTCTATTTTAGGCAGATGCATCTGTCCTTGAGTACACACCCACATAGGAATGAAGAAATCCAGATTTTGGAGATGGTATTAAAAGATTTCAGAATAGTCTATTTCCCAAATGAACAAGTGAATTACAACTCTGAGAACAGACTTTGAGTCACCTCTTTAAAACCCCTTTTTCCTGCTGATGGGCAGAATCACAGACTCTGGGACAGGTGTTCAATCTGTTTCTCCTTTGCTAGCAAAGCAATAAAACTTTTTTTTCCTTTTTCTCAAAACAATGTCCTTGTTATTGGATTGGCATAGGGGACAAGAACTATAAAATATATAGATTTTATATATTAATTTTTGTAAAAGCATTACTTAATTAAGCTGCACTTTTTTCTCTGAACTTAAGTATCTATTATAGTATTTTACTTACATACAAATATGAGGAGGGGTAAAGCAATTGATACGTTCATTTTAAAGGGGCTTTTAACAATAGATGTGAGTATCCCTATGCTTTCTGAATGAAATGCCAGCTTTAGAGAACATATTTAAAGTTGTATTGGATCCACAATCCCATATTTGTTCCAGCACTATTCACAGAAATCAAAAAAGAGTCCATCAACTGATGAACAACAATAACAAAAATGTGGCTCATGTACATAATGGAATACTATCAGCCATAGTGAAGAAATCTTGCCTGAAACAACATGGATGGAGCTGGTGGAATATAAAAAAAAAATATAACTCATGGAATTTCAAAGTAAAAGGGTGATTACTAGAGTCTGGGGAAAACAAGGTAAGAGGAAAGGATAGAGAGAAATTATTCAACCTGTACGAAATTGCACTCAGGTAAGAGTAAAAATTCTGGTGTGCTATTATACAGTAGGGTGGCAGACAAAAATGTACTATGCATTTCAAAAATCTAGAACCGGATATTTTAAACGTTTCCACCACAAAGAAATGATAAGTGTATGTGTATATAGATATATTTAGCCTGATTTAAATATTATAATTTGCAAAACACTTATCAAAACATCGTATCAAAACATCACAGCCTGGCATGGTGGTGCACGCCTGTAATCCCAGCGGTTCAGGAGGCTAAAGCATCAGGATGGAGAATTGAAATCCAGCCTCAGCAACGGCAAGGAGATAAGCAACTCCAGGAGATTCTGCCTCTAAATAAAATACAACATAGGGCTGGAGATGTGGCTCAGTGGTTGAGTGCCCCTGAGTTTAATCCCCAGTAGGCCCCCAAAATAAAATCAAAGGTTACACTATTAATATGCTACTTTTGTGTTTTTAGTGTATAAATTGAGAAAAAAAAGTAAAAATAAACATAAATAAAAACTTTTTGCTTATAATATTTGTTGCTTTTTTCTTTTTGTATTTATTATCAGAAAATATTTGCCTTGGATTCTTTGCTATGCCAATTTTTAGCCTATTTCATGAAGACAATATCTCTAAGATCAGAAGCTTTCTGAGGCAATTTTCATCATCATACCCTGGTGACCTTTTCAATATTCTGTGTCTTTATTGTGTAGACATTCAGTTCACTCCTCGAATTCCACTGCAAACATGGGGAAACAGTTAATCAGAATACATAGTTTAAAAGGTCAGATAGCATATTTCAATATGACATTTTTAAATAATTTTTAAAAATGCATAAAAAGAACTGATAATGTGTGTTTTTATATATATGAATAGAAAGGAAACCTTTGAATATCTATACATGAAATAGTACTACAACTATGTGTTCCTGTATATTCTGTGAATGAGGTCTTACTAAGTCAAACTGATTAGAAATATGCATTCAGACTTCTATTAATGATAAAACTAATAATATATGAACTAGAAACTTTCTACATTTAAAGCAATATTTCAATCCATGATGCTTATTTTTAAATAGTATGTTGATAATCCATACTGTTACTCTTTTTTCATTTACTGAAGACATTTTACTATGCTTGAACAGAAGAGAGCCCAGAATACTGAGGGTTTCAGTTTCATAATGAATATAGGCATAAGTAAGCCATATAAATGTTGCTAGTGAGATACATGAATCAGGGCTAATGACATAGAATTAAATATAAAATCCCATATTGTACCTTGTATAGATTTGCAGCATTCATAATGCAGTTTTCAATTTTACTATCTTGTGGTGAAATACCTATAAAATTTAGTAACTTTAAAGCTCTGAAATTTCTTGGAAAGTATATATAAGGTAGTGGGAGGCATTGAAGGGGAAATGAGTGAGAAGCCATACCTATGTCTAATCAGCGTGGCAGAACTGGTCACCTTTAAGTAGGCTAGCCAACTATTGATAGAATCTAGTCCTAGAAAAAAAAAATACTCGCTCCAAAGTGAACTGTTTTCATAGGATTTTATTTCATAATAATGTATAGTCTGTTGATGTTTCTTCAAGTATATGTTAATTTAATGATAATTTGCTATTTTAGATTCTCCATACCTATTCTCATACTAAATCCAGGATAAAATTAAGAAGATTAAAATATAACAAAGGAAAAATTTATAGTAGAGCAGTGTTTTTTATTTTGAATAAAAGTCATTTAACAATATCTTTGCTATTGTTGTGCTACGTGTAGAATGCAAGAGTTGGATATTTAAATTGCATCCATATTTCATGTGTTTACAATGAGTTATTTGAATATTTATGCGTTCATTATACATCTACTGTTTTTCTTTAGGAGTTTTAGAGTCTAATAAAACTGTCACAGAATTTTAAGCTGAAACGAATAAATAAGTGGATGCTTACGTTCCTTTTCATTCTGTAAATTGGTTGAAAACACTATAACTTCTTAAGGTTTCTCGTCACCTACAAAAGAAGCTGAAATTAATTGTGATCCTAATATGACAAATTTCCCAAGTTTATCAACTCATATTTATCAAGATTTGTTGATCTAGAATCACTGAACTGTATGTCTGTGATTTGTTTTATGTGAAAGAAAACAGAAAAGGAACAAATTAACCCAAAAAGCTTTTATTTCTGCTGAAATGACAATTGTTAAACTAAGATTTGAGCCATTAGAGTGAATCCTATACTTTTACTTGTCTAGGTAGAGCCAACTGAGAAAGGTTGCTGAGTAGGGGAGTTAAATCCCTAAAAATTCACTCTTTCATAGAGACAAAAAAAAAAAAAACAGTGGGAAAAACTGTTAAAAATCAACATTTTTAGAACTAACTATGGAAATTTTACAGAGTCTTATAGCAATCCAAAAAATTTTGAGTTCAGTGGTATTATTATAAGCCCGTGCCCTGTCTCTAAGCTACACAATACCCTTATGAATCAGTTTGGCAAACAGGAGGAGTTAAATGATAGGTTTGTAGCTTCACAAAATTTCATCTCAACAAAATTATCATGCTGATCTGTCTGGAAGTTGTCTGTAAGGACCACATTCAATGAGCTAATAGTTATTTGATCTGGCTCATAGGTCCTTCTGATGGAAAATCCCTATCCTCTGATCGATGGTCAAAAGCAATAAGTAGCAAATGTTTAACATTGCAGTTGCCTGAGGTAGCAATACTAATTTTGACAAACTTGAGGGTGGCAAATAAATCTAATAGAAAAATCTGGAGGATGAGATATTCATAGCGTCCTTTAAAAGATCTACCATATTTTTAGGACTTTATTTTTTTTAAAGAGAGAGAGAGAATTTTTTAATATTTACGTTTTAGTTTTCGGCAAACATAACATCTTTGTATGTGGTGCTGAGGATCGAACCCTGGCCTCAGACATGCCAGGCGAGCAGGCTACCGCTTGAGCCACATCCCCAGCCCATTTTTAGGACTTTAGAAGTTAATGAATACATGTAAGGAATGCCTGGAAAGGCCCTAATCTCAACTCTGGTTGATTTTGAAGGTCCTGGGAACAAGAAAGTAAAGGCCAAGTAGTTAAAAATGACCATGATATGATGCTATACCTCTGAACAAACAGAGTTCTTGACAAAAGTTGAATGATGTAATTAACTGATCACTAAACTAATTAAGCAGAGATTTCAGTATCCATAGAAGACGAAAAATTCAGATTTTATAGAAATTTTCCAAGATATCCAGTAGAAATGACACAAAAACTAAACAATAAAAATAACAGGGAAGTAAATACTTTGTGTTTCCAGGCTTATAATATTAAGTTATTAAAAAATTTTCATTTTGCAACAACAACAAAAATAAGATGTAAAAAATAAAATAGAAACAGCCTCATAAACAAGGTAAACATTCAGTAACCTGAAGAAACTCAGGATTTGTATTTTATTAAGATTTTAATCCAGAAATTGTGAATATAATCAAAGAATTTAAAAAATCAATATAAGAAAGTTTTAGAACAATGTTTCAAAAAATATAGAATATCAATAAAGAAATTTAAATAAAAAGAATCAAAAATAAATTTAAAAAGAAAATAATTAAAAAGAAAATATTATTAAATTGAATCAAGAATAGGTTTTATCTTCTGAAATAATTAACAAAGTTGAGGATAGATGAGTTGAATTTACCAAACTATGGAGAAAAAAAAGAAATCAAGTAGAAATTCGAAGATAACTTTTAGAAAATTGTGGAACAGCATCAATTGTATAAATATACCCAAAAGAAACAAAATGAGATTAGAAACAGAAATATTTCACAAAGGAATTACCAGAACCTTACTAACTATAATGAAAGCAATGAGTATAAACATACAAGAATCTCATAGAACTCTTAAGTGTTGTAAATCCAAATATATCCATTTGTAAGCACATTATAGTCAAACTTTCTGTTCCAGTCAGATTTCTGCCCGCCCCCCTCTCTCTCTTTGTAATTGTGACCAAAATACCCAAAAAGAACAACTTAGAAGAGGAAAGTTTTATTTGAGGCTTACAGTTTTAGAGGTTTCAATCCACAACCTACTTCACCACTCTGACCCCATCATAGAAGAAGGGCCAAGCAGAAGAAAACTGCTCAGCCCATGATGGGACCAGGAAACAGAAAGGAAAAGAAGCCCAGGGAAGAACAATCTTTCCAGTGCATATCCCTGGTGGTCCACCTTCTCCAGCTACACCTTACCTGCCTACAGTTACCACACATTCAGTCCAGTCAAACCAGGACGGACTGGTTAGGTTACAAGATCATACTCCAATCACAGCAGCTCTGAATATTCCTGTATAAAACAGAAGTTTTTTGGGGGACACATTATTTCCAAACCATAATAGTATTCAAATCCAAAGGAAACAAAATCTAGGAAAAAGAGAAAAACAAATCATCACACAAAAGAGATAACTAACAGCATTAGCAGCTAGAATCACTTAAAAAAAACTGTGGAAATCAGAAATAACTGTAATATCATATAAAAATGCTGAAAGCAACAGACCATTTATCAAGATTTTTTTAGTCAGCACAATTATGCTTTAAAAATAAATGTGAGTGAGTCATGTATTTTACATGCCTGTAATCCTAGCAACTGAGGAGGAGGCTAAAGTAGAAGGATCAGAAGCACAATGCCAACCTCAGCACTTAGCAGGGTCTTAAGCAACTTAGTGAGATGTTGTCTCAAAAAAAAGGAGGAGGAGGAGGGAGGAGAAGAAAAAGATGAAGAAAAAGAGGATGAATATTAAGAAGTGAAGATGAAGAAGAAGAGGAGGAGGCGGAGGAGAAAAAGACAAGGATTGGCAATTCCCCTGATTTCAATCTCCAATACCTAAATAAACGAATAAAAAGAAATAAGACATTTTCAGATCAGAAAAAGCCATGAAAATTCATTGTTAGCAAAACCAGTCTTTACAAAGTACTAAATACACTACTTCAGACTCAAATGGAAGGACACTAGAGAGTAATTCAAATACACACAAAGAAATAAAGGAACACTTATGTAAGTACATGTGAATAGGTAAATAAAAAATTAAGTATCAACATTATTTGTTTTTATTTTCCTCCCATTCTCTTATTTAGATAACAACTGCAAAAATCAAGACTTATGCATCTGTGTTTAAAAGCTCACAATGTAGACACATGCAATTCATAGGAATCAAATGGCACAGAGAGGGAGAGATTTGAATTCTATGTAGAAATATTTTGTATATTATTAAAATTAAGTTGTTATTAATGTGAACTAAACTGTAAAAGGAGATGTTAATTACAATCCCCAGGTCAATATCTATTAAAATGATTTTAAAACATACTTTTATTTGGCTTAAATGTAAAAAAAAGCTAATTACACATGGATGATTTGAAGAAAAAGATAATAAAACCAAAAATACTTATGTACCCTCGACTACCTAGTAAGAAAAAGTTACCAATTCTTCTGATGATCCTGTAAACATCTATTTCTAAAAAAAACATGATTTTACTTACTCTCTGTCCATGGTGCTTCAGAGGTGATCAAAGTTCTTCTGCAAGTTCCATTAATCATGTGATTTCTTGTATTTGTGCATTTTTGAATATGAATTTATTCCCAAATAATGTATTATTTACTGATTTTTTTTCAGATTTTCAGCTATGTTAAGTTAAATTTCAATCAATATTCTGAAACTTTTATTTTTTTTTATGCTCAAACATGTTGTTATGAAATCCCTGTAGGTTGATCTATGTGGCTAAATTATTTTTAAATTTGAATACTACAAAATAATTTAAATATAATGGAATTATTAATTCAACCAAATTCCCTGTGATTCTTTTTTTTTTATTCAAATGGGGTATGAATTCTTACTTTTCCACATGTACAGATTGCAGGGTTACATTGGTTATACAGCCACATTTATAAATACAGCAATACTAGTGTCTGTTGTATTCTGCTGTCCTTCCTATTCCCCCTCCCCTC